AACAGCTGCCACCTGTTGCTCTGTACTACTTCAGAAGAACCCTGAGGCTGGGGAATCACACTGCGCTCTGGCCCTTGATCTCCAGAGAAGTTTGAGATATCAGGGGTGTGCATTTGTCCCCATGTTTTTCTTGCTTTTGTAGGACACGATGCAAGTGGGTTTGGGAGTCCAGATGGAGCAGAGGTCCTTGGAGCAACTTGAGCACTGCTCAAGACAAACTCTTCATGGTTAATTGACTGTGGTCAGAAACTCTGCTGTCACAGACTACACGAGAAATCTTAAGTAGCTCAAGCATAAGTACAAGGAAGAGCAAGAGACTGTCAAGAGGAAGATCTTTCTTACCTTGTCAATGACATTTGTAGGACATCCGCCAGATTTCTCCCCTCCTCTCTACAGTAGAGGTTAAATCGATCTCCATTCATATGCACTTTCCTTCACATATGTAAAGAAAAAAAAAAAAAAGCAGCATATCACTAATGCGGCTAATTCTCAGTATCTTGAAGCAATTGACACAAGTACATGAATTAACTCATCACTTTATACCACTTGAAGCAAATGTGCTATTTGGATTACCTCTTGGTAAGAATAAGCAATTTAAGATCCATTAGTATTTGGAATATTCTGTTTCATTAAAACCACAGTCATCCCTAAATGTAAATGAGTGGGGAGAAGAAGCTATCAACCTCTTGGTTGTATGAGACAAAAACTCTCTATATTACAGATTGTTGTAAAAAGGTTTTAATATAAATACAAGAGAGGCCTTAGGTTTCCAAAGGAGGGTTCTCCCACCTCGAGTTGAAGTTTCTCATAGCTTCATTAAGTTTGAAAACTACAAGGTGGATTGAGGGTGAGCAAGCAATTCTGGCATACAGATTTTAGGCTTTTAATATCATTCCAGGGTAGTTTTTCAAAACACTGTGTCTGTGTTCCATTCTGCTACTTGTGTACCAAAATTAATTCTCATTTATAATGGCCACAGCACCTAAGATTATGGGAGAGGTGGAATTATTTTTTAAAATAATAAATACCTATCCTCTGTTTTAACTCAAAATTTCCAAATAATTCAGGGCCTCCTTGCCCTGGGCTTGAAGAACTTTCAGATCAAATCACTTTCATTTATGATACTGTCTGCTTTTATGGTATTATAAATGATATAAAAGCAGTGCTTTCAGATTTTAATTAGACTTGTGACACATCTATAGTTCACTAAACAAAACATACATTATAATGATTTGTTCAACACATGGTAACAGAATAAGGAAAGAATCCTGAAAAACTTCTGGAAGAAAGAATGTTCTTTTTCTCCTCAGTTTAGTCACATTCAAGTCTCAAGAAGTTCCTCAACTTTAAAAAGCTATTTTCGTCTAAGCAGTAAAGGTAGGGATGTTACAGAAGTCACAGAGATTTCTAGAAAAACTAAATCCTTTCACCATGGTGCCTAATTTAGTCTTAAGTCTTTTCCAAACGTTGAAATACACTTTCAGGGCCACAGACCTTACAATTCATACGAAACTGAAATGTCTGCAGGTAATGGCTGTTGACTAAATGAGAGATAGGTACTATTTCACTACTGAAGAATGAATAGTTGGATCCCGGCTAACACAGAGTACAACCCGCCTTTCACTCTTCACCAAGGGGCCAGTTTAACTTTGTGTGAAGCCACTGATTTAGGTGAAACTGTTGCCCAGCAAAGTAACATCAATGCAGCAAGGTGTAAAAGCGTGTCTGTGTTGACAATGTGATGCTACTGGAAGGAACGTACTAGGTGACTGTTGTCACGCAATGTTCTTCCCTTGGAAGAAAAATCACTTGTACTTTACACAATTCACATGTGTAGTTTGATAAGACCTCATGTCCAGTTGAAATAGCAACAAAGTGCTGAGCTGAACTCATCATTACGCTGGCTGATAAGCTTGTAGACAGGTATGCCAAAAAGAAAAGGTGTCCTGACTGTGCACATTAAGAGCATCAAATGTATTCCAAGCCTACTTTATGTCCATCGTATGGCTCAGATCAGGGTTAGATTAATGCTGAAATACCCCCAAAACAGTTTCCATAACCAAACAAAGACACTGGACTCTGGTGAATCAGGATTAGTGTTCTGCAGCTGTAGGGAAGATACTTCATAATTAAGCCTGCACCCTCCAGCAGATCTCGGTTGGAGGTACCAGCAGTCTTTGGCAAAAACTGGTTTGAAATCAGCCTAGCTTCCGGCTGAATAGCTCTGCTGGTGAGGGAAAAAAGCCTGTGTGTTTCTATGGCTCCCACACAGCAAAAGCTCACTTAGGGTATCTGAAAATGTGGACCTAATACATCTTTATTTTCTTGCTTTTCATTTCTCTGCAAGATTTACGATTCTGTAAAAAAAAGACGCCTATTAACAAGAATGGTTGCAAAATTAACCATTAATTTTCTGCTCAAAGGGATGTGATGGAGAGAGTGCAAAATGATCCTTAAATAACAGAGCAGAAGTCAGGTTAAATCTGAAATTCATATACTTTTTGCTTTTCTAGCTTACCAGTCTGTGTATAAGTGCAATGGTGGGGCAGACCTCCATGTCAGATACAAGACCTGTGCTGGCTGGATTGCAGGAACAGAGTTCCAAAGACTGTTGGCCTTAAGTTTGAGGCAAGCTAAGTAGGATCTTCCACCTGACTCATAAGTATTCCACCTCAATCTCTCTGATAAATGTCTAAAGCATTTGAACACAGAAATAATATCAAGGGTACTTCCCTCATAGCTGAGTCAAGCTGTGACAACAGGTCCTGAAAGAGGATATTTTTATAACGCTTTATCTCGTCATCATCCTTTTTTTCAATGTCTAGTTCAGGGAAGAATAGCAAAGTCCTTTCATGTTGAATGGGTTTAAGGGCAGTTGGTTGTTTATTTCCCTGAAGCTACACAGTGCCTCATGTCTCCACATCAGGGTGAGCCTGAGGTTTGTGTCAGGCAAATTCCACAGTAGTGTTATTTTTTAAAATCACTTCTAACGTTACTTTATCCTGGCTGATAGAAATGCCCTCCTTTCCCATCTCCACATTACTACACAATCTGGCCAGCAATAGCTCAAATTTGACAGCACACATAGGTGTAAATTTAGTCAACCATTGGCAATAACTGGCTTATTACCGTGTCCTTGAGGCGACCCATTTCCACAAGCCTTTACTTTGGTAAGCCTGGGTCAGAGCCACCTGCCCCTCCAGGCCACAGAGGAAAAGGGAGCTCCTGACTTGCACTTGCTTCTTTTGCTACCCCTGTTGCGTTCCCACAGGTCTCTGCTCTCCCCACTTGCAAACTGGCCCATAGCTCCAGCCCTGAAGTCCGTGCTGCTGCTACAAATGTGCTGTCGGGAAAAGCTCCTGGGCAAGAGGCTGTGGCAGGCAGGTCCCGGCCAGGAAGGATGGCAAGTGGGACCAGAGCGCTGCTGTCAGGGCCACCCACGTGAGGAACACGGGCAGAAGAGCCACACGTCCCTGTTGGTGGGGGATAAGGTGTCACTCTTTTCCCACCTTCCCTCACACCACCGTTTTTGGTGCCAGGCTCATTGTTGTGGCAAATTCCAAATGAAAATGTACCTTCTGTAGCATTTTGGCAGTTTCTTGGCCACAAACCTTTGCAGTCTGTGGGCCTGAAATGAGACTAATAGAGCAGCTTGCAATTCCTAGAGCTCCTGTAGGAATAGCTCTCTTCAAACTCAAGTGGACCTTCTTACTTCATTGCTTCACACTCAGTTCAGACTTAAAAGAGATCTTGGCAACTCTGAGAGCCATGAAACATTTTAAAGTGATTAATAATACTGCACACTTACAGCAGAGGATGACTCCTGCAGGACTCTGCCTACATTTCCTGTTAACGTCAGGTAGCAATTCATCCAAGTAAAGCAGATAACAAGTGGATTTTTTCGTACACATCCATAACAAAGTCTAAACAACAGGAATAACAACAAAGTGCTTAATAAACAATATTTTTCAGAACAAAACAGATTAAAAAACACTTTCTGAAAGAAAACAAACCTATTCATATTAGAAGTCCTCTGCTCAGGTCTCAAACTTTTACCTTTCCAAATCCTTTCCTAAAATCAAACTTTTACCTTTCCAAATACATACAAAAACAAACTCTCTTCAGCTGCCTCAGTGACATGTACTCTTCCCACCTACCCTCATACTGGAGAGCCCATCTCCTGTACGTCTCAGTGCCGCTGACACATGAGATTGTGCTTCTTCAGGCAAACTCCTGGGGCTCTGAGTATCCAGGTATCAAAGGCAGATCTCAGCGTTGCCTTTAGGGCTATAACCCCTGCCCTCCTGGACCTGACTGCGTGCCAGCCTGTGGTCCAGCAGAGTGCTTGGGCGGTGTCACTGCCGCTGCCCAGGCCCAGGAGGGGGATCCTGTTTTCTCACAGATGGCCCATGTTCGCTGTGTGCAGCCAAGGGACGTGTACCACTAAACGGCAGGCTGTTTGGCTGGAGGCTTGCAGCCTGGTACAAACTAATCGGGCTGGGTACTGCCACACATCTGCACACTGTTCCCAGGGATCACAATAGTGGTCCTCAGAACAGGCCAGCTATTCACTGCTGTGACCAGCTACAGCTGTATTGACATGCTGCCTTTTCTACTTTTATGTTGTCAGCATCTTTAATGAGAAAACTCCACCGTCATTTTCCACACTGCCTGTGAAGGTTTTTTCTTTTTCTAGTGCAAAGGTTAGGCATTTCTTTGCTGTAATTTTGGATAAATTTTATCCTTTGCTTGTCTCTCTTTTTTTTTTTTTTTCCAGCAACACAGTGTCAAGAAAGTCTCTAGCCACTTGGTAATACTAGTTGCAAAGCTCTCCCTTGTTTCCCTAGCACAGAAAGCTGTCTGTGCTCATACTGGAAAAGACCATATGCTAAGAAATCCACTTTTGCTTTTGTGCCCCAGATAGCATTTCTCTTTCTTCCCTTAGGGAAGAGCAGTCACAAAGAGTCCCCTTACTTTGTGTTAGGAAGTGGAAGTGCTTACTGTGATAGTAGCACTGCCTTACCCAAATAGGCCAAGAGACAAAGAACTCTGAGCTAGTTGAACTACTGAGGTTGAAGCAGATTTACAAAGATATCTATGTGTATCTATCTTTATTTATTTATTTGTATATACATTTCATATCCTCCTACGTTTTTTTTCCCCTCTGGTAACCTGATATTCCTGCAAGTCTATTCCTTTGTTGAATTTTGGCTTCACTTCCTGTCAAATTATTTCATTTTATTTAGCTTCACCTGTCAAAATACATGAGCTAATTCTCTTTGTGATCACCTGCCACTGTTTCTTAGTCTCCGGTGACAGGACGCATGCCTGCAAAGCCTGTGCCATGAAAATCACCTGGACACCTTTACATACACATAAGCAGAGAAGACAGACCCAAACTGAAATGCCTTGACCAGCTTAACTCTGCTCTTGGGTGCTGCCAAACAAGAAACCTCTGCTTCCAAACAGAGCCCTTTCGTATCTTTTGTCTCTGGGTTGCCAAATGTCCAATGTGTAGGGCCCAACATAATGGACACCACCATTTACCTGAATTTATGCCTCACCAATTCTAAAACACCCTCTGGGAGAAATTACATAGGGTTTTTTGGGGGTAACACAACATTCTGGTATAACGGATGTTCTGAAATAATTTCTTATTCTATGAATTGACTACATACTACCTATCTAAAGCCAGCAGCAAAGGAAGGAACTCTCTGTAGTACTATGGTATTCATTTTTGTCATTTTTACTGCTGTGATGCTGGGTGTTATAATTTATCTGACTTCTCACTCAATGTGCAGAGCTATGATAGCTCCATGCCACCTTGCAGCACAGAAAGTCCTTGTCTGGCTAGTCTGAGGGTTGTCCAGCAAGTCATTACTTGCACTGGGAGTGGTGAAATGCAAAGCCAGAATATCCTGGGTAAACAGATACCTCTTTCATCTCCCCTCCAAAAGTGGGTGAGTGAGAATTGGTGTTACACAAGACTGTGTTGATGCTGTTCAAAGTGATGAGTTTTACCCTTAATGTTATACTGAGGGAACACATGTGGTGACCAGTGATTGATTACCTTCACAAAGCTCATTTTCACTCAGCAGTGGTGAGTTTCAGAAGGGTGATAATAACGGATATCATTGCCTAAGTTCTCTCTCACATGTTGCCCACTGTCCCATGGAAATCAAAAAGTGATTAATTCCTCTGACAGCTTTTGTAGTATTCTGGAAACATTGACATTAAGTGGCAGACACTGCATATTTACCTACAGGAGCAAAAGTCCATAATGTCCCCTTTAACAATGAAAACTGAGTACAATACATCGATCAAAGAACTGGAAGAATGGCTGTAAGAAAATAAGACTATTCATACAAACAAAGCTCTCAGCAGGGAATCAGGACTTCCACAGGAACAGGGATGAACAGGAGGGCTAATGTCTACCTGTGAGCTTGTGTGCTTGAAGAAACAGAATCAGAGCTGGAGCCGTTGGAGCAATGCTTGACTGACCTTGGAGGTGCAGGTTACACAACTTACATAAAGAAGAAATATTAAAATAAGGAAATACTCCTCTTTTGGAAGTTTTAGCTGAGATGCTTCCAAGCATGAACCCTTCTTTAAAAGGGCACAAACATGTAGATTACCAGAGATCCAAAAGGGGTGAAGGCAATACCTGCCACTGGCAGTTTGTCAGGACTGCACCACCCTCTACAGCCAAAGGCCCATCAGAGGACTTTGCAATGGTCAGTGCAGGTGCCTCCTCCTGGCTAGTGGGAGTCAAATTAGCAGCTTGCTCCTCCTTACAAGTGGTACTAACCGTGGAGGCAACAGTGCTGGGCTGAGGCACTGTTGTCACTCATCCTCTACTGCTTCCATGTGAAAAATGGCAGCTGCTCAGTCCCCTGCCCCTGACGCATGCCTGAGCAGCGCCTCACAGGGTGCACAGTGTCAGTAGGAAATTGAAGTAATGAGGCTCAATTAAGCAGCTCCCCATACAGTCGTAGATGAACTTGTCCCAGCAAGAGTACCTAGATCCAGTGGCTCAGCAGGGTGGTTGTGTGATGTGCAGCTGGTTCAAAGCCATTTGTAGCATGCTGAATATTCCTCCTCCCTGTGGGACGCACGTGCCCTTTTGAGTACCACACACACAGGGTGTGTAGCCGGGGGGGCACAAAGACAGAGGATTTTAATGCCAACCCTTCCATTTTTATGCATTCCTGTTCACCAGGAAGTAAGAATACACAAAGCGAGAAAAGGTCTCCACATTCCTAAAAATCAAGGCAGCTTTGGCTGACACAACACTGGTTTCCTTCGCAATGAAATTTGGGTGTTTAGCTTTGTTCTCATTAGTGCATAGGTAGGTCAACACTCACCTTCACTTTTAGAGTGCCAGCACAAAATTTTGTGCCTTTTCTTCTTCCCAAGTGAGTCTTCAGTGTGGGATTTACATGGTGGCCAGAATTTTTGCAACCTTTTCCCAATGGCAGATTTCTGCAGAAATACACAGATCTGAAAAGATAAACCGTTTTATTCCCATTAAGAGTACTTAGGGAGGAAAAAAAAAAAATCAGTCTTGTTTAAATTTAGCATCATTACATTTTGGTTGGGTTGGTTGCTTTTTTTTTTTTTTCCCCCCCACCAGGCCATTTTTCTCCAGCTGCTTTCATATAGACTGCTCCTAAACTTTCAACCACGACGGAAATGGGAAGTCAGCCTCTGATGTCTCTGGGGTTAGGCCACAGAAACTGTACTTCCTTCAGGGTAGCAGTGCTGCTTACAGTACATTTCACACTTTTTACAACATATGAGTCAGTTGACTTTTGCTACAACAGCATATAAAGTTTGCAGAACGGTACAATATAAGCTTGTACTCAGTAATTAGAGGAGCAACACTCCTGTTCATTGCAGAAGACCACTCAGCTGGACAGCTGCATGGCAAAGTGACCTGGATGTACAGTGATGGGGGACTTTTAGTGTGGGTTTGGGCAGGAGATAGCCCCCTTGCAAGGTGGCATTCAGAGGAGCAGAGGAAAAGTCTAGTTAATTCAAGGGTCTCAGATATTCTGGGAAAGGTTTTTACTGACTGACAGTAAGACGATGTTTGCATAATTGTCCAAACACGTAGTCTTTGAATAATAATAATAATATTGCTGTTCTCTGAGATACACTTTATTTTTGGAAGTGACCTGATAACAGTAGAAGCAAAACACTCAATTTCACAGTTACATCGAAACAAAAATAATTACAGAACGCATGCAGAAATTAAAATCTATTACAGGCAATTTGTGCTAAGAAACTAAACGTCCCCTAAAGCTAGACAACTTCAACCATTTCTGCTTGGTTTTGTCACGATTGGTTATCCTCTCTATATCACTATTTCAGCCTGAGATCTTTTCTTCACATCTGCTCTAATCCCATTTTTTTGCTATCTTCCATTATGCTAGAGATATTCTAGGTCCTAGACAATGTGGATATTCAATTCATGTAATTAAAATGTAACTACAACCATCTTTTTCATTTTCCTTATCACAAAAAAAAATCCTAACAAGCTTTATGGAGCTGTTTCTCATTTTGAGTCTTATGCAGTATCCACTGGAGATGAATGGGATAATTTCCCATGAATCCAGCAAACACTGATACAAACAATACAGCACTCATTAAAAAAACTCTTGTAAAAATTACAGGAATGCAAGAATCTCCTTGACTGAAGATGTCCAACCTCCAAATCACCGAGGAACCTAATTGTCATTTTTCAACCCTCCTGATAACACCACTCAAAGAAAAAGATGATTCATTTCTCCTTTCTAACCATATTTTGAGCTGCCTAGAAAATCGTATCTAAAACTTATCTTTCCATACACGTCCCCTCCAAAAAGAGCAATACAGCAAATGACCAGACAAGCCACCGTTAAGCCCTGTTGAGCCATTTGGGGGATCACCTTCAGAGGCTCCTTATTCACCTTGGTCTGTAGAATTTTTGCCACAGGTGCCAGAAGGCTGAAGACCTGGGTCAGCCTATCCCTTTCGGCACTCTGACTGTTTCTATTTTGCCATGGTTCACCCTTTTGGTGAAAGGGCAACAGAGCATTTGTTCTGATGCTCTAAGTGGGAAAACAAACATGGGTACCAGTCTGCTGTGTCTTCTCTCTTTCCTTTAGTGAGTTCTTAGAGCACCACGACAGCACCACCAAGTCCTAACAGACTTGGAGAGAGTGGCACCAGGCTGTCCATCAGCCAGCAGAGAAGGGTCTGACAGTGAGTTAGAGCAAAAGGGAGTGAGATAGAGAATATTTGCCTCAAGTGCTGAGCAATCAGGGAAGATAACTACTGTAATTTGTGGCTCTATATAGCAACCTCCTTGGCTACGTGCAGTTCTTGCTGACATTAGGTTGGGCCCAGTTAATGGGCTTCCACCACTGCAGCCAAGGTCGGAATTTGTACCTGCTCTCTTCCTATGAGCAACTACAGATGAACCTGTCCTCAGTCTCATGGTTCAGGGCCGGTCTGGAGATACCACCTAGGCAATCAACACCATCAAGGAGGAAAAAGTTGCAACAGGTCTGACCTAGTGCTCAGTATAAGGTATACCATCAGTCAGCTGCTTGGCTTGGTTGCACTCCCAATCATCTAGTGGGAAATGAGGGACAGAAAGAAAGTATTTAGCAATGAATCCTAGCATTCTTTTCTCTCCTCTGCATTCTTCTTCCACCTTCATTTCATAGCTTTGCTGCCAAAGGCTGAGGAGGAAAAAAAAAACCCAAGGTGAAAGTCTAAAAAGCCATTTTTGGTAACGAGTTTTGGTACCAAATTCCCAATCCATGCTTTTCCAGGTGGCTTTGTTTTTATTGCACACACCATAACCTAGAAGTATCCCACAGTTTTGCTCCTGACAGGTTGGATATTTAAATGCACAACCCTTTATACTTTCAAGAATTCAGACCTGCAATTTCAAAATGGAATTATGCCAATCACATAGGCCATATGGCTAAAATCGTTGTTAGGAAGTTGTAAATAAGGATGACATGGGGTCACTTAATGGAAAGGCACTGACATTTCCTCCATGGTTTATTACTATCCTTTGGTCCAAACTGAAGTGAGCTTATGGTCTCAGCTTAGTTTTCAGTGGACAAACTGTCTCTGTCACAACTTCCCTCCCCGTACCGTAAAGAATCCACATGCTGCGGAAAGGATTTTATGGACTCAATTCCATGGCGCGTACTCTAGCATCATGCTCACTGACTTCAACAACACGCTTTCCACATCTGGAAAGGCACCACAGAATTCTGTACAAGCGCAATCGTCAAGGAGGGACCATGCACAGACCCCTTCCCTTTCACTTACAAAATCATAAGATTCAACACTAAGTTAAAGAAAAAGAATTCTCTTCGTGAAAGCAAGAGTAGGTTACAGGGCTGTAACACATTAGGACTATGCAAGACTAGCCTGCTCACCCACATGTGCTCACAGTCTCTATTTTCAATTGCCTCTTAGCATAAAGAGTAATTTTGATCGAGAAAAAGGCTCAGAACTGGTATGAGGATCTTATTTATTTCTCACAGGAAATACATTCTCTTCTGGTCTCCTCAGAGGGATGTGTCTTTGTAGGCAGGGTCAGCACTGCCGGGAGAGGGGGAAAAAAATCATTTGCAGATTCATGATCATGGTTTCAAGAATCTTCTTGGCTGGGCACTAGAGTTATTCTATTTGTGTATGTGTCTGAGGGAGGACAGAGTCTCAAAATAAGTAAAAGGCAGATTCAAGGAAGAGAGTCATCTCTTCCATGTCCTTAGTGAATAGGACAAGAAATGGGCTTACCTACAGTGAGAGATGTTAAGGAACAGTAAAGCTAGAGAAGCACTGAGACAGACTGCCTGAGGAGGTGTGAGGTTGACAGAGGTGTTTGAAAGGAGACTGTTCCTGGGGAGATGCAGATATGGCTGAAGACAGAATAAATAACCTCTTGATAGACATTCCAGCCCTGTGACTGACAAAAATGTTTTATACCCTTTCACCAATTTGCTGGTTTCTGAGATCTTCTAGCCTGCTCCACTGAGAGCAGTGACAAAATATCTGATCTCACGTGAAAGTATACCAAAAAGCAGCAAGGAAAACAGACAGGGAAACAGCCTAAGAGCATGAAATTTGGAAAATAAGGAAATACCGATGGCATGTGAGCTGTCCCTCAGTCACCAGGTGAAATACTGGGGTTTGGCAGGCATGCAAACAGAGCCCGCTCCTGGGTGTGTGGCTGCATGCGTCTGCCTGACACCAGAACAGCTGGTAGCACAACCAGCCCGCGGGTCATCCAGATAATTCAGTGGTCTCATAACCTTTATGAGCAATTATTCAGCAACATCTAATAATTTAAAACAAATATGCTGCAGGTAACATGGAGAACAGCTGACAGAGTCTGGGAGTAAAGACACCACATAAAAAAAATTAACACAACAGGCTGCCATTAAAATGAGGCAGACTCCACATGAACTGATGGCTGCTGGAGTCACGTTCATACAGCTAGAACTTTCCTTTTCTAGTGTCCTTTTAAAGAAGCTGAAAATATCCACTAACCCTGAGAACAAACATATCATTTTAAAGCAGAATAGGCCTGTAAGACTTTTTAACACTTGTTCATTGATTATATTAATGCCAGAATATATTAAAGAAGTGCAATATAAATTTGATTTTAATTGTTTTGTACACACGCCAGTGAAAAGGAACTGATTGGATACAGTTCACAGGCAGTATGTTAATACGTTATTTTCATATGATGATAGCTTTGCATAATCTTTCTTTTTCCAAGATTTAGAAGAACCTGTTGTTAACCAAAGCACAGGAGAGAGGAAGAATACAATTTACATAAAATCGGCTACCCTACACATTAATTAGTAATGTGGCTGAGCGGAAGGTGTGTTCACTTAGTAGAAAGTACACTTTATAATTTATACACCAGCTGTTTCAGTGCTTTCTAGTCCATTTTCCTCCCTGCCTGCCTCTAATGAAATCGTGTTACTGGAGAATTGACTGGGGTGAATTGAGATTTTAATCCCATTGACGCTTCTCTATGGAAAGGCACACTGGTGGGAACTTTTAATGGAAGGTCTGTAATCAGAAGACACTTGTATTCAGTCCCCCACTATAATGACTCTCATCAAATGTTAAAGCCCAGGCAGTGTGCAGAAGGCTAGAATTTCAAGGTTTTTGACCAACCCCATTTGAGGCATTCCTCTGGGAGTGTGTGATTACTCAAGTTTAGCAGTTTATTGCCTCATCTTTCAATATCCAGTGAAGCACAAAATTCTCATCTAGGTTGCTCTTTTTACTTAAAGAACAGGCCAAAATAGACTGCAGAGCTACTAGCACTGTCATTGAGGTTAATTCTTGCTTCTCAGTTAACAGGAGATCAATGGAAAAGCTTTAAAATATTAGAACACAAATGCTGCTTAGTCTCTAAAAATGCTCAGCAGCTTTTGTAAAAATTCTGGTTCACGCCACACTTTTCCAATACACAC